CGCATTTGCTGCGACCTCAAAATAATTTCATTGATTACAGGCTTAACAGCATCTGGCCGTCCAAAATATCCGTGTTTTTTGTGCGATTGGGATTCACGATACGGAGAAGGTATTAAAGGAAGAAACCAGTACAAACAGCATAACTGGAATAGTCGCATTGGACGGAAATGGCCTAAAGACAATAGGCTACACGAAAGTCTTGTTCATGAAATGAAAATTTTGTTGCCGTTGCTCCACATTAAACTTGGCATTGCTAAAAATTTTTTGAAATGTATCGCAAAAACACCAGCAGTATTCAACCGCTTAAAAGACATTTTCCCAAGACTAAGTAACGCCAAAATTCAGGAAGGGGTTGTTAATGGTCCCGACATACGGAAACTAATGAGTCGTCGAGATTTTGACCAAGTTCTGACAGACCGAGAATTAAATGCATGGCTCGCATTGAAAGCAGTCATTAAAGGACTTTTGGGTAAAGAACGCAAAGACAGCTGTTGGCAGCTTTCGATGTAATTGGGGTTAATATATCGTACAAAAATCATTCTTGATCAACTCGCTCAACAGTTGCCAACTGAATCTGATGAGCAATGCGAACGTTATCACCAAACTGCGCTTCCATTTGAAAGAAGGTAACTATAGAGTGTGCATATTTTGAATTCATAGATTTTTCTAATATCTTTATCAGAGTGCACAATTTAAACATGGTAATACTATGTCTCCATTTTGAGATTTAATGAAGATTTAGCCCTCTGACGAGATTTGGCGTTAAATCTTTTGAGATTTACCATATAAAATTNCTATATAACCTATAAAAAAGATGATTGGCGTTTATTCATCGATAGTTCACTAATCAGCTTAAAAGTTGTGCTTTTGCACAAGACGAATAGAATGCCTTCTGTTCCAATTGCGTATAGCACTGACACTAGNTTAGTAATACATATTAACATAACTTTGGTTGTAATAAATTAAGAAAATATTATTTTAAAAACCAAAAATTTAGAAGAAATGTTTTATAGTAATATCATGCAGAGTCTTATTCACTTTCTATAAGTCATTTGCGCGCTCCGACAAAAAATTTATAAATTTCGGTAATGGTTCTGCTTCGATAACATTGCACCGAACATCCTCTAGAACTCAATTCGTCTTCATGATATGCCAAAGGCCCACGATTAGATTTTCGGTTCCCTCCTATGAATAAAAGAGTTCTACAAAAAATTTTCTTTCCGCAAATGTTTTTTACCGTTTCGATAATTTTTCTTAAATTGGGGAAAATGATTGGGAATATGGTACCACTCTTTACATTTTCCAAACTATATATTATACATACATATTTACCACGAATATGAAGCCAATAATATTAAGAATTCACATAATGAAATTCCGCTTGGCACCTTCCTTTTATCTGTCTGTATATCAATGTCCGCAACTGTATTTATAAAATCATACATAAGCAAACGTCAAATATTTAAAAATGTGAACGTCAAACATATCTCGTTGTGGTAATGGAGACGGTTGTGATTTAGCAACTGGCTTTATTAAATCTTAATGGATAAATTTCTCAATGGAGACATAGTATAACGATTGAAAACTATTTTCGTTTCAGGTACAGAGGAAAGAAATCTCCAGATGCAATACTCGCTGAAATTTGTTATTGGTATAAAAACACCTTTGAAGAAGAGGAAGACGAGGAAAAAGAGGAAGAAGGGGAAGACAAAGATGAAATTCCAGAATATCTGTTGGACGAAATTATCGACCTTTGTGATGATGATGACGATGACCAAGATATTAGAGAGAGCAGTGATGTTGATCCACAGCCGCCTGCTAAACGGCAACTGGCCAAATCATTAATTTAATTTATTATTATTTTTTCCATATTTTTATAATTTCTTTTTCAATGTTTCTTCAAAACCAACACTGAAAAAATTGGTACATAAGAAATGAGAAGTAAATTAATATTAAGCTGGAAAACGCAAGTTTTGTATTATGATTGGTTTCTTTTCAAATGAAATTTATTGAAGAAACTGAGAAGCATATTATAGACCAAACAGAAAGCAAAAAAGACTTAGTTTTGTGGAAAATATGTTCAAAAAGCATGAAAAAAAATTTTTTCGAAATTTTGCTTCAAAGCACTACAAAAATTTTCTAAAGCAATTTTATTTTTTAATTTTAATTGTTGCATAGGTCTCTAGCAATAATTTGGCTTTAACAGATTGAAAAAATATCAATTAGTCGACGAGTTATAGCCAAAAAACCACACAAACAGTATGCTGAAAATCGGCATTTGACTGCAAAGCTCGAAGGTCGATTAAAAAAAATTCGAACTAACATAAAAAAACGCCGCGATATGGCTCTTCTTATTTAGCCTCTATTTTCACCCCTCACTCTCAGAATTGACCTAACTTTTGCTAACCTAAATTTGTTCCACAGTGATATTCTACAAAGTTTGAAATTTTGATTTACATGTTTATTTTATATAGTTAGTTATATTTTTATAAAAAATAAATAAAAAAGGTAACCAAAACTTGGCTAAAATGTCTTTTCTCTATTTACATTCTCGCCACCGTATTGTGTGTATATATTAAAAGATGTTATGCCTTTTTATTCCAAAAATTAAATTTAGGTTCAGATTCGATGATTTACAAATGTCCCGATTTTAAGCCACAAAAATCTGGTCACCGTACTCATACGCCATGTGCCGCTTGCATCCGCCTACCTAGGAGGGATGAAAAACTAGATACAATTGTACCTTTTTCCGACTTTTTCGAACCAAAAGGTACATTCGGTACACAGAGTTCAATTTACAGGTCTATTCTGCACTGGTAATAAAAAGTTTGTAACCGGTAAATAAAGTTCCTGTCAATTTTTAAACCCTTTTCGCATTCTGTATACTCTTGTAACCGGTAAATTTTGTTACCATCTCATAAGCTGGTAACAAATTATTGCCCCGTGAAATATGCAATGCCAGGATTTGCACAATTCTTCATAGCTGAATTGCTGAATATTTTAACTGCATTACCAACGTACCTAGAATCGCGGTGACAAGAACTGGTAACATTTTTTGGTAATACAATTTTCCGGTTACAAAATCTTCGGTAACGTGCAGAATAGACCTCTTAGATACAACTAGACGACAGCCAAATAAATATCAATATTTAACACTATATACTACGTTGCTCGCAAAAAAAAAAATAGAAAATTTTTGTAAACAAGGAGAAATGGCAACTCATATATCATTTTGAACATGTCATTGCAGCAACAAGAAATCTAAGCAAAGCGGCCAAGTCCCTTTATTAAATTATTTGTGAACAGCGAAAACTCCTCACGTTTTGAGAGCTTTCTAGCAAAATGGCTACATTGTATGTGCGTGTGAATTTAAATTGTGAATGAGTTGAAAGTACGGAAGAAGCAAATAATAATTAAAGGCGGAAATATCTGTAATCTGAATGTACTCTTGCTGTAATTTATTTAGCTTGCAATGATTGGTAAACAAGTAAAATTTTAGCTCAAGTTCGCCTGTCCACGAAGTACCACATAAGGTTTTGTATCAAAGACCTGGTCTACAAAATATACCCAAATGCTTTATCTCCACAGTGCAATCTAGGCCAAATGGAAAGCCTAGACCATCTGCCCTTCACGTGCCCAATCTACTATTCCTTGAGGGACTACCTAGGAGCTTTTATAAAATAGTCAAAAAGCAATTCAATGCATATATTCCAATTGACCGATCAATTTATAGTCAGGATGGTGTAAATAATTAAATTGTGTAAACTACTTTAATTTTCTTAAATACTTTTTTAAGTACTACCACTTTCAACATATTCTTGAATAATTATGTAGTTCTCAAACATGTAAACTCAAATGTAATTATTAGAAAGCCTGCTATTTATAAGCAGGGTTAAATAAAATGAATAAATGATACCGAACAAATCTGTTTTTTAATCAAAAAATATTTAGAGGTCGCTTAAAGCGCTCAAAGTTTTCCAAGCATTTTATATGGGGGAAAACAAGTTTTCATAGAAATGGTATAGAATTCTTAAAAATCAATATTTTTTGATCGGAAACTTTGCTTCCGATTGTTTATTTTAGCAATTTTAAACATAAGCGATTTTTATGGGTTCCGCATTGTATTTTCGAGAGTTTTAGGGGTCCTATAAGAAATAGTTAATAATAGAAAATGGTTAAAAAAATAATTGGGTAATATTATTGAAAATCTTTTTAAGAGAAACAAAGTTTTCCTATCGAGAAATATGAATTTTCAACAATTTTATACCATTTCTACGAAAACTTGTTTTTCCCCATATAAAATGCATAGAAAGTTCCAAATAAAAACTACTTGTTTCGGTATAGTACAATGCTAGAGGGTGAGAACATTAAAATTCCGACTTTCTTTTGTTTAGAGCACTCCCATGTACATACATATATGTATCTTTATTGAATTGTTATGAATATTAATTCAACTTTATATCAGATATTAATCACTTTCTCGTTAATGCAAATAATTATAAATTTATTAAATTGTTACCAATTATCTAAAAATAATAAAAAAAGGAATAAAATCGTGAGCTACTTTATAGGTACATTTGACAGGCAAAAGGTACATTTCTATGTGTACAATGTCCACGTGAATCTTGAATAACTTTCGGGGGAGTAAATCTATCACTAAAAAAAAAAACGTTTTTGGTAAAGCGTTCAATTTTCTGTTCAAATAGGCATTGGTCATTGCTTTTTTTCAGAGAAATAATTCAAAAAGTTCGAAAATGCCCTGTTATTTATAATCGTTCTATTTAACTGTAGGCTTTCCTAATAACTTTACGAAATAAAAAGGTTATAGAAAAAGACGATTTAGCAGTTTTCACAGGGTGTTGAAATAAAGTATACCGTATTAGTATGTACATCTTAATACGGTCTACTACTATAATAAAGCTTAAACTGTAAACTGCTATCACTTCTATTGATGCAAAATTGTAAATACTTTAGTTCACTGTTATTTAAACTCTACTTACGGAATGTTACTTAAATGCAATGTGGCCGATGGAGGATAGATGTTCTGATAATTTTTGCTGCCTGGTTTCTTGAATCGGTGCAATGGATTCTGTGAATAGTCGCGTGTTAGGCCGGCATCTGGTTGTCCTTCCTTCGGCAGCTGCACAGCCTGATGTTTACTAGCCATAACACGTATCGCCTTACCCCACAAGCGCAATTTGTCAAGGTGATTCATAGCTGTAGATGGACAAAAAGAAATTCGAGAATACATGAAATATGCACATACATATATACATATATGCAAACAATACTAAAAGCTTTGTATATACACAAATGGAAGTCAAAAACATATACAAATAAATATTAGTCGAATGTACATATATAGTAGACGAGAATAAACGGCTAGTTGAAAATCGAGAATGAGAAAATAAATTTTAGCTCGATGGTTACCTACACATTTTCGTAAGAATGTATCCAAATATTTGCAAACACACATAACACATATAAATGTGCATAAATTTGTGAGTATATAATCCGGAATAGAAATAGTTCGTCCCATTAAAGCAACTTTGCACGTTTCGAAGTTAGTTATTGGTAACAAGCAGTGGTGGTTCACGAGCGATTTTTCTATAGGTTTGTTCGTCGAGCAAAAAATTTGTACGAATTTGTACGAATTATCACGATTTTTGCCCAAATCGCGTTCGTGCAGACCAAAAAATTATCCAACACTAAAAAATTGTGAGAGCAAAGTGACAGTTCTCTTGGAGAGAAGTTGCAAATTCTTGCTGGAAAAAATTTTGCCAGCAAGAATTTGCAAACACGAAAAACATGTGGTTGTGGCGCATGGTTGCATTTTTGTCTACAATAATTTGAATAAATTAGTTCGTTAAATTTAAAAATTTATAAACACGAGCGATTTTTTTATGAAAAAAGGAAGTAAATAATTGTTGATATAATTAATTTAGTTAATTCCAATGATTTGAACTTAATTCGGCTGAAAAAAATGGTATTCGCAATCGGAATGCAATTGCAACCAGAGTCGATTTAAGAAACCCGACAGCTAGTACGATGAAGAAATTGAAATGTATGTTAAAGAAAGTCAGAACAACAAGAAATATACATGTATATCCTGTTTTTGGCCATCCGAAAGAATTTTAAAAATTCTATAAAAATTGTTTATGTTTGAAATGCAACCGTGGACGCCAGCTGGCAGCGAAACTTGCAAATTCCTGCAAATTTGCGTTCGTGCAGAAATTTGCAAGTTTCTCAACATGAGAGAGAATTTGAGAGAATTTTTTCTTACTCTCTGATATTTTGAGTGTTGGATAATTCTTGCTGGATTTTCGACGAACAAACCTTATGAGATACGAACTTGTCACCGTGCTTACATAAGTGTGAGAGTATATGAGAACAAATGCGGAACTTGTACAGATGAGTGGTGAAAAGGCTTTTAGGTTCGAATTACGTACACACATGAATGCGCCTGTTAGCATATATGTAGGAAACGGCCACCACAAGAAGTCAGCGCGTAAAGTGTTCAACCGACAAAGTATTTGCCGCCTCCAGTTGTAATTGCAAACAATGCACAAGTAATGTTTTTCATAAATGTAGCAAAAATAAAAATGCAGCCATTTCAAGGATCAACGACATGGCTGGCACTTCAATGACAAGAAAGAAAAACAATGCAGCAAATATGCTACAGCAACGGCATGTCGCGGCTTGGGGTGAGTGTACTGTGCCAAGTCATGGAGTTGCGGCGGAGGCTGCAGGCTTGGTAGACTTGCAAAAACAAAAGCTGCGGAATGGAGAGCAAAGTTAGAGAAGTAGCGATAAATACAAGCGATTACATTTGTCAAAATCGCCATATATTTATTATTGCTTTTGCATACTCATTTACATACATCAAAATGTATTTATGTACCGGCATATTGATACACATGGAATGAAAATTCGTTTTGCATCTTGTACTTCGATGCATTTGCGAGCAATATTGCAAATCGGCAGCCATCAGCATACCCAGTTCAAACATTTGCGAGCATCTAAGGACGGTATTGTATAAAGTTCGTAGATTGCTGTTTATGCCGGCAGACATAAAATATTCTACTGCTATAATGCACCTGCGGCTAAGAAAAATACATTGTTTAAATCCAGAAGATTCGTAGAGAAAGATCGGAAATACTGAGAAAATAGGTTGGTATGTAAATTTACTAAAATAATAATAAGTAATTTTTTAAGAGATGCGTTCAAGTTCCGATTTCGCTCACAAAGTGCAGATAAAAGGGATGGATATTGCCTTTTATGTTGGCTCGAAATTTTTACACAATATGAAACTCGTTTAGCTCGCATTTCATGAGACTTTAATAAATATTCAGCTGCCAAACTACAATGAAAATCTTTTAGTGAAAGTCAGAAAAGTGAAATTTCAGGTATTAGTAGCCAACATAAGCAAATGGAAGATGCTTTTTTCTTTTTACGAATACAGTAGATTTAAAAACATCAAATAAAGAGGCCAGAAGAAGGCGAAGGCAACAGTGTGAGCAGAAGGCGAAAGTTCAATTATTTACCATAAACTTGCGAAAGCGACAAATATTTTAAAATAGCAGACCCAAAACTTGTCAGTCCTGCTACTGTAGGCCATTTGCCGTAGACATGTTCACTACATGACGCTGGAGACATAGAAAAAGCCCATTTTAAAGTTACAATTTTTCGAAGTCCTCTTAGCGTTCTGGAATAGAAGTTCGGCATAATTATGGGCGATGTAACTTACACGCATCTTTCTCTGGCATTGGGATTACGGGCTTTTGCCTGAAATTGATGGATAAAAAAAGTGGACCGAATAGCAGTACTTAGAACAGGAAACGGACGAGGACGGTTTTGTTTGTTAGACTCGTGTAGGCTAAATATTGGAAAGAGTGCCCTGTTGGAATTTGGACGAAGTCCGACTAGAACCTAATTTTTGTATAATAATTCAATCAAATATATCAATTAGTTTTTGTTTTTTTAAACAAAAAAATATTGTTTTAGTAATAAAAACCTTCTTCCGCAATGATTTTTTTCCGTTTTAATTTTTTGGCCGCTGTGCTTATTTGGAGGTATAAACGACTTCTCAATTATTATTATTTTTTTAAACACAAAAATATTGTTTTAGTAATAAAAACCTTCTTCGCAATGATTTTTTGGCCACTGTGCTTATGTAGAGGTGCGTATTACTACTCCGTAGAACATGGGCTCGATCCCTGGTCCGAGCAGCAAGAGCGATATGTACGTTAAGCAAGGTCTTTAAAGTCGATATTTGACCTAGATATAGTGGAAACTTGTTTACACAAAATCGATTTACTACAACTCTTTCAGAAATTGTTGGAAATCTTCCAATCGTTATAAATGTTATTGAACAGAGACCAAAAGGCGCTTTCTCTGCCAATGGTCTGAGAGAATTTTTAATGTTAAGAAAACATCAGCACACAAGTAAGATAAACCACGCCAGATCGCCAATCCGTTAATTTGATATAAAAATAGAAAATACTCGTGAAAACAGAGTTTTTTTGTACACATGTAGGTTCAAAATAAAGCACATGGGCAGTTAGAAATATCATAAATTATTATAATAAATAAAAACATAAACAAAATGAATAATACGGGATTAGCGGTACGATGCGCTGCAGTTATCTATGTAAATTTTTTACGAAAGTCTCCTATTTAATAATTCTTTTCTCTGGTTAAAGATCGACTTTGACGACCCAGCTTAATTTACGTACGTATGTATTTATATTAGGGTGGTCCACAACAAGAAATGTCGGAAGTTTTATGCTCTCGACCCCTAGAATTTTTCTATAGAGAAAAAATAATACCCATATTTTTTATTTTTAAATTAAAAAATATTTAGAGTTCGCTCAAATCGCTCTAAGTTTTCCATGTATTTTATATGGAGAAAAAAAACAACATTACGTAGAAATGGTATAGAGTTCTTGAAAATTAATATATTTCGATCGGAAAACTCTGGTTCTCTTCGGGAGACTTCTAATAAAAATACCCTATTGTTTATTTAACCATTTTTTATTTATCCCCCATTACATTTTCTGGCATTTCCTGTGGGTTTTGGCGGACCTATAAAATATAGTTACTATGAAAGAACGGTTAACTAAATAATTGGGTATTACTATTGGGAATATCCTGAAGAGAAACAGAGTTCTACGAATCGAAATAATTGATTTGGAAGAATTCTATACCATTTTTATGAAAAGTTGTTTTTTCCATATAAAAAACATGAAAAACTTTGAGTGCTTTGAGCGACCTCCAAATATTTTTTGATTTCAAAATAAAAAATAAGGGTTTTTTTCGATATAGAACAAGCCTAGGGGGTGGGAGCATAAAAATACCGGCTTTGTTTTTTCACGTGCATTTTTGGACTACCCTAAGGTATATTCTAGTAGTAATGCCGCATACGATTTTTATACCCGAGCGCACTTGTGCACAAGGGTATATTAATTTTGTTCACATAACGGTGGTTTGTAACAGCCAAAACGAATCGAGATAGATATAAACAAATGTATACATAAATGCTCAGAATGAATAGAGAAGACGATTAAGCCATGTATGTCTGTCCGTCCGTGTACACGATAACTCGAGCAAAAATTGAGATATCTCAACGAACGGTCTTGGTACAGCAAACCAAGTGGCGGAGAAATTTTAAAATCGGTCAATAACCACGCCCACATCCCATATAACGGTAATTTAGAGAAATACAAAATCTTCGATAAATCAGTAAATATTAAAGCTAATTTATTCAAAATTGATGCTTGCAACAATTTTTAACCAAGGAATACGTTTATGCTAAAATTTTGAAAAATGGGCACCGCCCTCTTATGATCAGATATACATATGTATCTCGGTAACCGTTCTACCAATTTGTACCAAACTCGGTATGGTTGTTGTGCTTGCCAGATAAAGGAAAACCTTTAAAATTAGTGAAATTTTACTAAAATTACGGCCGCTTTTCATATAACGGTAAACTTCAGAAATGCTTGAAACTGCAATATTTTGAAATTTAAGGACGCTAATTTACTCAAAATTGATACACTCCAGCTTACCATCTAGCGGTAGCTTTCGGAAAGGTGAAAAAATATATATTTAATACTTGCGCCGGGTATTTAATGTTCGGCTCCACCCGAACTTAGACTTTCTTACTTGTTTTATAATGAAAATTTGATAGATAATACTAATTAATAATTAGCAACGGGTAAGCGTAAAGATATTTAAAATCTGCAATATTATTTATTAATCAGCAATAAGAGGCATATCATATTTTAATTTAAATGCGGAATGTGAAGTAACATATTTCGTTTATTTCCATTTAAGCTGTTGGTGGAGCAAACGATATTAACAGTATTGGAAATAAGTACAGTACGTACATATTATGTACACACATATTTCTGTATTCTCTATCTTTAAATTAACAATAGGTTCAGTTGTAAAATTTCATGATAATGAACGCTTGTTGCTTTTCGTCTTAAAGATCCATACGAAAGAGCTAAATTTTCCGCCGGCCGAAACAATCTGGAGATTTAATGCATTTCAGGTATATTACATTACAGCTGCGCTAGTAAATTTTTATTGTAATGTTGAAAATATCGTTGTTCAATCATACATACAAATTAAGCGTACACTTCCATCAAGTGTAAGCAACTTTTATCTCAAAAGTGCCATTACATGCCAGAGTAACCATAATGAATATTAATGATATGTTTTCTTTGTGCAATAATTCCGTTTCGCAACCCCAATTTTTCAGCCAACTTTTCGACAATAATCAAGATACTATCGTAATAATAAAATTTTGCGACCAGCGTTTCATCTCTGCAGTCATTGCTTTAGTACTATTGAAAGTATTCATCGAAGAACGTGGGAATGGAAAAGAAAATATTGTGAAAATAAACATATCACACATTCGTATACAAATTAATTCGTACACACACGTATGGTGATCGCATAAAAAATTTACTTTTACGTTCGCTTGCACTTATTTATCACACCTTTCAAGTTGGATACACAAGCAAAAGTGGTATGTACATATTTTCGCCTCACACAGAGCCCCCAAGAGAACGAGAAATGGGTGGCAAGCCCTCATCAATGGCAAAATGTGAATGAATTCAAGTAAGTGAATATGTGTGCGAAAGTAGGTTTTCAGGTATATTTTGCAGGCCAAGGTAACGATTACAATACAGTAGTTACGTATAGTAAAGGAAGAAGTCAGGCGTCAGCAAACGACAGCGATTGCTGCGACTGTCAAAATATTAATGGATCCCATATAGACTACTAATGTGCCACAAGGGCCGTAAAATTATTTCCTATCCTTTATATCCTGTGGTACTACATGTACTGCACAAACACATATGTATATATGTACTTATGTATGTGGTATTGGCTGCAAGTGTTGGCCGGGCTTTTATGCGCTTATAAAATATTTACAAATTCATTCGTTACTTTATTCGACACTTCTACAGTTGTAAGTAGACCGGACTTCAGGAGCATGTTGCACAATAAGAAGTAAGACTTAACTATACATACTGCAATATGTTTCTCTCGGAGGAGAAAATTATACCCAATAAGATAAGCTGCAAGATAGTGCCTAGCAAACAGTGCCTGACAAATACCTAACCACTCCGATAGATTTGAGGTTTACTGCCATATAGAGCTCCATTGTGCATTTGAACTAATCTGATACTCGCCAATTACATATATCAACCGGTAAAAATTATCGAATTTCTGAGCGCAGAAAAAATAGGAGTTTTAAAATTAAAAAATGTCCCTCAGTCGTTTAAAATGTTCATGTCACTTAGGACGGGTATGATGAGAGATTTATAGAGCGTTTGCGTTCCTCGAAAGAAGGAACTGCTTTTCAATACCGAGCCCTCCTAGTAGCTCCTATTGAAATCACTTAATCAACAGCTTTACATTGTTGATGGTTCTTATGCTGGCTTTTGGATAGAAAAAGTACCTCACTTTTCAAGTTGAAAAAGCGAACTCGCTACTAAATGCCGTAATCTGAAAAAGATTTCGATTAGAATTTGACTCAATCACGGATGCCATGATTCGGGCCCTGTAATACTTTAAAAAAGGCTCAACCAATTACTCTGTTCTTCAAAATTGCTTGATGAAACTAAGATATGAAATGCTTGAAATTTGCGGACCATTCGTTTGGTCACAAAAAACATTTTGCAAACAAAAAATATTTACATAAACAGCTGATGTAGATGCAATTTCACTTTTAAATTGGCTATGGAAGGAGTTAAATTTACATTTTTATTTTAGGTGTGTTCGTTGACAAAATATATTATATATGCATATATTTATATATATATAAAATATATGTATACACTCGTCTATTAAAATCTATTTACTTTCTCTCCAAAGTATATTGGTAGATGTTTATAAAAATATCAGAAAATGAAACACAGCTAAAAAGTTGGTATATCTATCAATAAAGTGGTAAAGTCCGTGCACTGGCATACACACAAACGGTAAATGTTACATAAATACATACATATATAACCTGCATAATTACATATAGGATCGTTTGTACATATGTATAGATATATTTAAAAAATTATAACTATTAGCTACTTTAGATTGCTAAGTAAGTTATGTAAAACCCAATAAAACATTCAAATCCACTTTTCTCAAAAAGGGGCGAAATTGGGTTAAATTGGAAACTGATGCAGAAGCTTACACATTTAGCAAAGAGCCGGAGGTAGAAGAATTTCATGGTTAAACACCATCCAGGCCCAACTTGAAAGAGTAAAAAGAAATTGGGAAGACGTCTTGAGTTTACTTTTTATCTCATAAAAGCTGAGTGCTACTATCTGGCAGATTATGGTTTCGATTCCTTTTCATATACATTTGATAAAATATAAAGATTCCGTTTTGATTTCATAAAAAAAAAATTTCGTAAAGAAACTTCATAGATGAAACGTCATAAATATACCTGCATTACTAGAAAGAAAATGAAAATCCAAGACTAATGAATTTCTTACAGGGTTTTACAAGCTGTGCTCGTGTGTGTAGCAATAACAATGGAATTACTGGTGCGATTGTAAGTTGAGTATAAAATAGTATTTTACATGAATAAAATAAATATTATAGTTTTCTTTCCTTAGGTAGACAAAGACCGATGAAGTTAAAATACATACTTTGGGCCAGTGTTTCTGGACAACCGCTTCGGCTGGACTTACGCCATGTGCGTAGTTAAGTGTGCATTCAAGTATGTACCAGAGCTGGAATACGTAATTTCAGTTTAAGGTGTTGCCAAGGAGGACTATTGTCACCGACGAGCAAACGGAAATGTGAGTAAAATTACTTATTTACAGCCAGCGTGCATATCTTCGTGCGTATTTATGTACGTGCATACATAAACCTGAATATACATACATACATATGTACATAAGCAATGAAAATTGAATTCGCTTTCAGCAAATTTCTTGTAACACTCATCTTTCGTACACTCTTGTTATGTAATGACTTGTCTCTTGCCTTTTTTACACAAGTGTAGGTATATGGATATGCATGACCTTAACCGACAAAGTAAATTTTCAGGGTCTCATAAAATTAAAACAGACAACAGAGCATTAAGGTTCCGTGTTGATTTTGCCCAAAAAACTGTGCCCGGCCTGACACTTGTTTTCGCCTCTAAGTCCAGATTTTGAAAGCGCGTTTGGAATAACGAGTTTTAGGTGGTTTATCACTCGGAATAGCGCACATCTCATGCAATGTGGCTATTAAAGCTGTCTGTTTGAACGCTATCTTCGCATTGATCATTTGTTGGAACCCGTAAAATCAGACCCATATAACATATAACTCCAATACAACTGATTGTTCAGATTTGAGGGTTTGCGTTATATATATAACTTACACTGTACGGCCAACACAACTTTTTTTCTGGGTATTAGACCAAACCAATTTTTTTGAAGAGATTGAGTCATAGATAAAAAAGTGATTTCTGCGTTTTTCGAAGTTAGCCTCCGAAATCGAGTTCGAAATAAGACGTTTGGTAAAAAATTATATTTAATTATTGCATGTAACCAACCTAAAAATATAGACGTAGTCTTATAAAAATTTGAGAAAAACCACATTTAAAGGAAACATATTTTTTGTTTTTATTACATAAACAACATTTTAAACAAAAAAGTTGACTACCGATTTTTAAACAATACTTCGTATATAAAAATCTGAGAAAAACACTTACAAGGAAAAAAATACAAAAAAAAATTCACATAAAAATTACCTATTAGTAATACAGTACTTTAAACGTTAACTTTTACATATAACCTGTTATGTAAATAATCAAAAAAACCATGGTGTTTTTATATTTTTATATGCCTTAGACCTCTGTTATCTACATATCGATGGCTGAGCGGAAGATCGAAATATGTCGGCAGCCAATTCGAAAACGCTCTATCTCAAAAAACTTTTCAAGGACGCCCTATTTCATAAATCGTTTCACAAACGCCCTATCTCAGCTGCCGATTCAAAAACGCCCTATATCAGCATATTTTCAATACATTTTGAAGTGAGATAGGGCGTTTTTGAACCGAATTTTGAGATAGGGTGTTTTTCAATTAAATTCTGAAATAGGGTGTTCTTGAAAAGTTTTTTGAGATAGAGCGTTGTCGAACTGGCTGCCGAGATAGGTCGATCTTCCACTCAGCCATCGATATACTTTTGCTTTATTTTTGACAAGGCTGTGTGTGGACCAGAACGAATTAACGCTTAACACACTATTAATTATGTATTTGTTTTATTTAAATACGGTATTTTATTTTATTACTAATTAGTAATTTTTTTATATTTTTTTTATAAGAAAAAATTAGTATTTTTTTTTTGCAATTGTTTTTTCTAAAAGTTTTATATACAAAGTATACAATTATACATACTAAATAGATGAAAGGGGGTTTAATGGCCTTAACAATGATGACAATTTTTAAAAATCGGTGGGTAATTTTTATACCCGAGCGCACTTGTGCACAAGGGTATATTAATTTTGTTCACATAACGGTTGTTTGTAACAGCCAAAACGAATCGAGATAGATATAGACAAATGCATACATATATGCTCAGAATGAATAGAGAAATCGATTAAGCCATGTCTGTCTGTCCGTCGGTCCGTGTACACGATAACTCGAGCAAAAACTGAGATATCTCAACGAAATTTGGTACGTGGGTTTCTGTTAATCCAAGGTAGGTTGGTGTTGAAAATGGGCGAAATCGGACAGTAACCACGCCCACTTCCCATATAACGGTAANGATTGATATTTGTAATAATTTTCAGACGAAAAATAAGAATATTATACATTTTTGGAAAATGGGCGTAGCCACGCCCACTTATGGTTACATGTGTATATCTTGGTAACCGCTGTACCAATTTCTTCCAAACTTGGCACAGTTGTTGGCCTTGGTACAGCATACTAAATGGCCGAAAATTTAAAAAATCGGACAATAACCACGCCCACATCCCATATAACGGTAATTTTCGGAAATACGAAAACTGCGATATTTTAGTAACTACTGAAGGTTATTCACTCAAAATTGATATTTACAACAATTTTTGGATGAAAAATAAGAATATAATACATTTTTGAAAAATGGGCGTAGCCGCGCCCACTTATGGTTACATGTGTATATCTTGGTAACCGCTGCACCAATTGCTTCCAAACTTGGCACAGTTGTTGGCCTTGATACAGCATACTAAATGGCCGAAAATTTAAAAAATCGGACAATAACCACGCCCACATCCCATATAACGGTAATTTAGAGAAATACAAAATCTTCGATAAATCAGTAAATATTAAAGTTAATTTATTCAAAATTGATGCTAGCAACAATTCTTTACCAAGATATAAGTTTATGGTAAAATTTTGGAAAATGGGCGTGGCACCGCCCACTTATGATCACATATATGTATATCGGTAACCGTTCTAGCAATTTGTACCAAACTCGTTATTTTTATAGTGCTTGCCAAATAAAAGCAAAACGTTGAAAATTATTGAAATCGGACTAAAATTACGGCCGCTTTTTATATAACGGTAAATTTCAGAAATGCTTGAAACTTCAATAATTCGAAATTTAAGGACGCTAGTTTACTCAAAATTGATACACCCCGGCTTACCATCTAGCGGTAGCTTTCGGAAAGGTCAAAAAACATATATTTAATACTTGCGCCGGGTATTTAATGTTCGACTCCGCCTGAACTTACGACTTTCTTACTTGTTTTATTTAAAATAGTAATTTTTTGCTTTGAAGGATTTTTCGCCAATTTTTATTTACAAAATAAACAAATATGCATATCAGAAGGGGCTTAATCGCCTTTACAATGATACCAATATTTTTTAAAGTCGGTTAGTAATTTTTTTGTTTAAAATATATTTTTTATACAAAAAAGGTATTTTTTTTTACGAATCTTTAAAAAATCAGATAGAAATGTTAAGTTTTTAATTTTTCGAAAATCTGAACTTTGACCCATTAAAGCAACTGTAATATAAGTTTTCACAAAAAAAGTTATATACCACATAAATAAGAGCAAAAGCTAGACCACGTCTGTATTGTTACTTTTTTTGCTTTTTACATGTAACAATTAAAAATAATTTCGTACCAAAGGTCCGATTTCGAACTTCGAAGGCCCATATCTCGATTTCGGAGGCTAACTTCGAAAAACGGAGAAATTACTTGTTTGACTTATGACTCAATCTCTTAAAAAAAGTTGGTTTGGTCCAATCCCAGTCGAGTGCTGTACAGTGTTATACAGCTAAAAACATGCAATGTCGAAAGCTACCCTGCAGAAAACAATTATCAATTGATAAAAAATAACCCACTTGTAGCTAGCTACAAAAAGCTAACTTGAAACTAGTTGACAAGTAATACAGGAGTATTGCAGGAGATTGTTTTCTTAAAATGCGTTTCAATTTAAATATCCTGCTCTTCGCAAATACTTTTTTGAATTGAAGACAAATAAAAGGAAGATCGAAATTTCGTATTATCATTTTGAAGTTATGTATGTCTGACGGAGTTCGAATATGGGACCACCTACAGCAGAATATGTAAACAAATATAAAATGTAATAAAATAAATGAAGTAGTTAGTTACATGTTAGTTACATCAAATGCAGAGGTAACCACCCCTGACTAAATCTACTATTTCGCGGCCATCGCCATAGAAATATAGTTGGCTTTCGTCAAAGAAAATATATATTTAATAGTGACTTTTAGCTCCTTCCTAAACAACTTAAGGTTAGCTTATAGTTAGATACATTTCCTGCAGGTTATTTACTAAATAATCATTTACTAAATGATCATTTGAGGTATACTTCTCTACAAGTTACATCTCATATACCACTGATGGTTCAGATATGAGGAGTTTTTGCAATATAACTCTTCTATGTAGACAGCTAACACCATCTTATTGTGTGATGAATACAACGAATTCTTTATCGATCACATGTTATATGCATGTTGTCGAAACGTCGATAATGATGTTTAAGATGGAGGTAGTTGTAATTGGCGGCCGCTGTGGTGTAGTGGTAAGCAGTGCGCGCTTCCACTCCGCAGCGCCTGGTTCAAACCCTGGTCACAGCAACATCGCAAAAAATTTACATAAAAGGTGTTTTCTTAACAGCGGGCGCCCCTCGGCAGACAATGGCAAACCTCCGAGTGTTTTTCTTCCATGAAAAACAGCTTCTCATAAAAATACAATCGCCGTTCGGAGTCGGCGTAAAACTGTAGGTCCCTCCCCTTTGTGTGACATCATCAAAGCGCACGTCACAAATCGGAGGAGAAGCTCGGCCAAACACTAACAGATGTGTAGGCGCCAATCTATTATTATTATATAGTTATAACAGGACATTAAATCCCCTAAATGAAATTAGAAAGTTAAAATATCCCACACTTGCTCCAACAACAATAGCAACTTTTATAATTATCGTACGAGCTACTCTGCCTGCTGTCGCTTAATTTAGTTTGCTCCTGTGACATGTTTGGCAATCCTTTGGGGAATACATAAGAAAGTTTTATTAACAAATTATAATAAATATGTTTGATAATAACAATTACAAAACAAATAGCCTTCGGGCAACAGACACTGCTGTTGTAGAGTTTGTGCAATTATGCTTTAAAATATGTTAAAATTAATTATAAGCAGTTTGTAATAAATCCAAATCGTGCGAGAGTGGATGAGGTAATGTGCTAACATACGCTCACAAATAAGCAATGGGAGTGGCCAGTAAGGGCCTAAACGAATTTCCAAAGAAATTTATCTACGTACACACGTACATATGCAGTATTTGTTTTTCGAGAATGTCTGCAAGCGTTAACATGTATTGGGTGTCCCAATAAGATCGGCGGATTTACATTTGCCGCCACTTCGTTAATACAGTATGGTGATTTTTTTTGACAGCTGTCACGTACAGATAGAGTTGCCAACATTTTCCAAGATATTTATAGTACTCTTTCAAAAAAAAATATATATAGTATACTTCAAATATATATAGTATTTTATTTGAAAGAAACTGTAAAAACGTTTTTTATGTATACATAATTTTACTTTCTTATGGATTTCTTTTATAAAAAACGGATTTCTTTGCACTTTTGACAGTTTTTAACAATTCTTTGTTAACTATGAAAGTATTATATGCTTTATCGCAATCTACATTTAAATTGATATAAATCCAAAGTTAATGTTCAATAAGTCAGGTAGTTACTTTGTTTCTCTCATCTCGCTATTTCATATTCATAACAAACACCTCATTCTGTCAATGCTGAAGTTTCAAAGATAGAGTAGAAAAGAAATATTTTTTTAAGCAAATTTGGTAATTCATTCAGTATTTTTAAACATGTGTTGTCATTTTCGATTCGTGGTTCTATACTCACTATTAGTATTTTGAAGTCCACCAGCATAATTTATAGCGAATTTACAGGAAAACTTAAAATCGAATTATGAACGTTAATACTGGATTGATTAATGCTAATTCTACCAAGTTTCCTAGAAAGAAAAAGAACCTCGATTTTCATTTATAAAAAATATGCATACGTATTTGTACGTATAGATGAGATGTTCATCACTGACTAATATGTCAAACATACATATCTATACCAATTCAGACTGAAAATAAGTTTTTCGATTATATTTGTATGAGAGCCTCTCGGTGGTTAAAAACTAAAATGTCCATCCATAACTTAAATTTGTGACACACAATGGCTAGAGGCGTCGGCTGAGTGCATTCTTTCATATATTTATGTATGTGCCAGTTTTACCGTTGTATATTTTTTATCTATTCGTTTATTCCATGGGGTATTCATGCTTTATTTAAATTTAAAAAATTAAATTACTATACCGTTTTAAAAGTCTGAAAATTCAATGCGGGACATTTTTTTATTCTCTTTTTGTCTTCGCCTTCTCGTTTTGAAAAAAGGTTTTGAACGAACCATTATATCACAATCCTAGGCAAGTTTTGAAAGAATATTTTCGATACTAAATTTTATTAAAACAAAATGTGAAAATCAGCTTCATATAGAAACAGTGTCATCGTTAATTAAGAAAGAGATGTTCTTAAATATCATAACTTTACGACACTCACATATTGACTAGATTTGACTATTTATTTTATTATATTTTAATTTGAATTATAGTTTATTCCTTAATAAACACTAAATAAAAATAAGTTTAATCTTTGAACAACATTAAAAAAAATGTATTTATTTATAATTAGAGAAATATAGTATTTTTGCATACTGTATTTTTTCCAACAGTATATAGTACGCAGATTAAAAAATAGTACAATACTATAGTACGGTTGGCAACCCTACGTACAGACCACGCGATTTAAGAATATGGAGACGTTTTCAAACGAACAACGTTGAATTATTTTAAAAACGAATTACAAAAAATGGTGCAAGTTTTGTGATATCAGCTCAACAATTGCGTAAAATTGTCGGTCGCAATAATGCACCGAATGAATCGAGTGACGCATTTAATTACAAAATGTTAGACCAAATTTACGCTGATGGATCAGAAGACCATTGGTCGTCGTCGTCCTTGTCGGTCTTTAGAAAATATAGCCACACTAAGGGAATCTGTGACCGAGAATCCAGGAACTTCCATTCGGCATCGTGGCGTCAAGGTTCAATTGGTGCAAGAAATCAAACCAATGGACCATGAGTTTTTCTTTAAAATTAAATGCGGCGCTCTTTTTGGGACACCCTTTGTGCATTGTTCAATTTTGTGAATTTCAACAAATGCGTTTCTTTGCATGCCGAATATATGCACATTTGCTCTTTGTAAGCCATGCAATATTTACATTTTAATCTCCCTGAAGCGTACTCCGTATTTATACGAAAAATATATTTAATACACTTCGCATGCAGAAAATACAAATTCGGCATGCATTTAAAATGGATATGTTTGTATACATATGTGCAAGGTTTTTGTATTTACATGCATATGTACATATGTATATAATGCTTTGATTTTTTCTTTTTCATTTGGCATAGGAACTTTTTCAGTTTGACCTTCGCAACTTTCCTTTTCCGTTATTAAAACATTCCATTTTGCACTTTTTATAAAATATATATTTTTTTAACTTATTCATTTACTTTTTACTAGAGCTCAGCTGTTTTTGGCCATCCAAAAGTCATTGAATTCTTTATATTCTAATTACTTCACTCATACAAAGTTCATTATCACACCAGTTCAAGAACGTCACTGTGTGAGTGAAGGAGGAATGTACCCAAAAATGTAAAAAGGGCAGAGTTCGCATAAAGTGTGGCCAGCCAGCTAGCCCAACTTTTCCACTTCAATTTGTAAGTTTAATCTCAGCTGGGCGTCGTTGCAATATTTCACTTTGTAAAATTTTTGCCGAATTCCTTCGTGGAATACACTTACTAGTCAGGCCAGCAAGCGGGCAAAGCAGGCAGCCAAGCCCACGAAAGCTTATAGAATAATGAATTAAGTGGAGTAATTCCATAAGTGACGTACTACCCACATAGTCATACATACTTGAGTGCCCTAAGTTGTGGCAAACTATGCAAAAGTTTCCGTACTGTTCATTTATGCAACATTAATCACGACGAAATTTTGCTTCTCATGCAATTGGGATTTGCAATGAACACATACTCGTTCACACTCACTTATGAACACTCATAATTACACGCAAGTACATACATAGATGTGTAGTGTATTTTTAGTTAAACCAAAAGATCTGTGTGTATCAGTTTTTGAAAGGTTAGCACCCTTTAAAGTGGCAAGGATTTTAAGTGCGCCGAATTGCACAAAATTCAAAACTCGCCAGCAATCCCTTTTTCGTCCGCCTTTTCTTTTGCTAAATCTTAGCGTTTGTCCAGAAATATAATTGATAATTTAATAATCATTTCCGTTCCACTTTGCAGAACATTATAAACTTATTAACATTAATTACTCTCGTATTTGCAATTCAATTCTCATTTCCTTTCGCCACTATCCATTTACTCCATACACCACTCCATATTCCCAAAAAGTGTCTGCTATTCTGTCAGTTTGCATGTATAGTTCATACCCAATTTGCCACAGGACGAAGACGACGTCGCTCTGGCGAAGTCGTTTTGGTGAACTCGAAACGACGTCATTACGACGTCGCCCTGGTGAAATCGTTTGGGTGAACTCGCAACGACGTCGTTACGACGTCATTCTGGTGTAGTCGTTGGGGTGAACTCTAAACGACGTCGTTACGACGTCGCTTTGGTGAGGCCGTTACGACGTCGCCCTGGTGAAGTCGTTTGGGTGGACTCGAAACGACGTATTTCGACGTCGCTCTGGTGAAGTCGTTTGGGTGAACCAGAAACGAATCCGTTTCTTCGAACCTACAAGTCTTACATATATCTACTATGTCGTGTCTACAAAGAGCTCCTCAGGCATTGCGGAATTTGAGTAGTGAATAGTAGCTGATGGTATTTCATATGGGGAAAATTGTTCTGTACAAAGTTTGAAACCATAAACGAAATATTTACTTTGCTGCTAATTCCTTGAAATTTTTTTATATAAACATATATATGTATGTATACTGCACATTGCTTTAATTTTTACTACATGGTCCTTGTTAAAAAATAAACCCAATTTCAATTAATTTTAAAGATAACTAAAATGAAGTAACAAACAAATAAATTGTTAAAACTTGCCAATATTTTTGACCCAGGGTGTAGTAATATATTAAAATTTTTGTTTGTATTTTATGACTGAACGTTTTCCTTATTTTTCTTTTTAATTAATATTTAAGTATTTATGTTTATTTAAAAAACTTTGAAAAAAATCAACTGAATTAAATTAAACTATTTTAAACCAAAAAAATTGTTCTTAATTTTCTAGCAATTTTGAGCATCGTTTGCAGTTTGCTGGCATATCGTTTTTGCGGGCTGCATGGTAGTCGTTTTAGCGACCCGCCGGCGAGTCATTTTTGCGGCCCGCCGGCGAACTGTGCTTTTCATCCGACGGCGAGTTCGCCGGCGAACAAATTTCACCAGAACGAGTCGGAAACGACGTCGTTACGACGTGTATGTATGTATTACTTCCTTTCTTTGTTTGTCTGTCCATCATGCTGTTTGCCTGCCAACCTGCCATTTGTATGCACCCTGCAGTGTTCAGCGTGTGGCACGCGCCAAGCGAAATTTACCATTCGGCTATAGATGCGAAGCGAACGTTTTGTCATGACAGCCGTTAAATACACCATTTGCCCCATTAAATATGCAACATTATTTACACAATTTCACTGGCCGTTCTCGAAGCTCTTGCTATTGCTGCTGCTGTTTCTCTATTGACAATTGAGTTGGAGCGCGTTTACACGACCGCCATGCCGCGGTTGCATGCATTGATGGCCCGGTAGGGAATACACAGCGGCAGCAAGTTTAATTACCTCTTGAAAATAATTCAGCAATTCGCTGCACAGTTGAATTTGGTAATGCGGTTGATGTTGGGAATGAAGTCTTAATAAAATGCTATGAACACAAAATCTTGTTAAAAATAAAGAAAGCGGCACCGGCTAAACCAAACATGTTTAATAATATTCAGAATTAATTAAAAATTTAAATTTTCCTGGAAAACGCAATCAAAGTTTAAGCAATTCATATACATAGTTGGTGAAATCTCCAAAAACGTTAAAAATTGAATAACATCTCTACATTATTAAACGTGCGATATGTATGTAGTTGAACTTAAAATAGTTTTGAAGATAGTTCTACTAATTCTGGTACAAATGTATGAATAATTAGAGTTGTCCCTACTAATAACACATCGAAGCGAAAAATGTTTATAACATGTTGCCCTTACCCGGTGCAAAATGTGTTTGATGCTACACTCATCCCTGTACTACTTGTCCTTAACTAGCTCACTAGAGCTGCCAACCTATCGATAGTATCGATAGTCTGGTCACATGAAACAACTATCGATAGTTTTAGTACTATCGCCACTATCGTTTCATTGATAGGGTGGTATTCTCTTTCCTAGCGCTTTTGACATTTACACGTATTGGTTCAAAGAGAACAAAACTTGGCAGCATTATTTCATGAACCAAAGAGTAAAGATCACCCAGGACGGAGTGCGAGAAAAAGTATTTTTTGCAGTGACGTCATTTTTTCGCCGCCATGTTATCAACTATTATTTTTTTCTCAGATGCAATTACAATTACACGGTTGCCGTGCTGGGTGATTTGTTTAGTTGGTTCATGGCATTATTTCTAAAAGCGCCATTTTTTATTTTAAGCGTGTAAATAGCAGAGGTTACATTGCCGTCTTAAGAGCGTCTCAGAAGTGGTAATGCAGTATATTTCAAAGGACTGTCAAATTGAGAAATTTCAGAAAGCAGTTTCATGAGCAGTGACACCATGCATGGAAATTGTCTTTCGAAAGAAAGTTTTTATTTCCGAAAAGCGAATTGCAGGGAAAGTTTCTGAAATCGCTTTTTGACTAATTACACGGCGAATGAATTTCTAGCAATATTTCTCGATACTAAAATGCAACCGTGAGCCGCTAAAATAAACAAATTTATAAAAGCAAGATAACGAAAAATAAATGGATTTAGAAAAACATATGAAATGGGTCGATACTATCGGTAGTATCGATAGTCACCCCTAAGACTATCGTAAAACATCGATGAACTTGACTATCGATAGTTTGACAGCTCTATAGCTCACGTATTTCATAACGTTGTCGTTTTAAAAAACCATTTGATATTCAGGGCAACTATCTCCTCTGACAAAGCTTCACAGGGCAGAGAATGTGCCTCTTTTGCCTTACAAGAGTGTAACAGTTTAAGAAACGAACACACAATTTTCTCACCCTTTGCATTTAATTTAGAATCGAACACGAAAAGAGAAAGGGACAATCAACAAGCAACATTTTTTGATAGAAACCAAATCGCCATAAGGTTTTTTATTTTGGGTTTTAATGAGACAAAATCGCACTACGAAGCAAAATGCAATAGAACAACACGTTCCATCTGTGGCTTCTACAATTCGTAGGCGCTCTTTTTTTCTGCGTTTGACAATTACGCATAGCTATCAAAATATATGTAAATTCTTAACGTTTTCATGCGTTGGCAAGTATATAGGCGCTGTCATGGGAATTTGTGTAATCATCTTATCTGTCAAAGGCACGCATACTTATGTGCTTATGTGGGCTTTCATATGGATTTGGCTTTCGTTAACACAATTATTGGGGGTCATAGAGCAGTACTTGCAAAATTTTTAAATATTCCACATGGAAGGAGTGAAAACGACGAAGATTCCTTTGAAAAACGATAAAGCTTATCCGCTCAAGTAAAAGTGAAACATCATTTGGCCTGCAAGTTAAAATTAGTATTTAAACATTAGGAAGTAATTCATTCAATTGAACCAATAACAGAGAACTCTTCTTAAAATATTGCTTGCTTAGAAGGTTTTTGAACAGCACTTTAGTAGCACTCACTATGTAGTATGTAGGTGCTAACGCTGACTGTTTGAAAATATTTTATGTATCTAAGATATCGCCAAAAGGAGTGCCTACGTAGCAGGGTATAAAATGGATGGCATTTTTATACGCATTTACAAGAAGTCTTAACCCTTCGAAGAATTTTGAAAATATGAAATTCACATTGGATATTGAACAAGGAGAGAAAATAAAATAAGGATACAAAAAAAATCGAAATATACAAACACAATAATACACAACACCTCAAATCACCCTCAAATAACACAAACGCCGTGTTTAGACATTTAATAACCAGACTCGAAAGAACTCCCTTAAACACAATATAACTATTGCGAGATACAAGATTATTTAAAAGATACATAGAAAAAGGCGAATAAGAACTAAACCAAAGAAAAAAATTTGGTGGTCATGAGCACGATGTAGGGAGACAGAGGTGGCACAATCAGCAGTACCGCTACATTGTTCTTGGCGAATTTGACAGAATCAGTTGTTCGTGTGACGTCATTTTAGCAAACTGTTTTTATGTATGCAGAGATGTTTATATGTATGTAAACATGGCGACCTACATAGTTTGACAATTAACACTCTTTCTCTCCTCCATCTCCAATTACTCTTTCCTATTCGTTGCTATCTTGACGTCATCTCCCGCAGGAATGCGCAATCTATCTATTCTTGGTCTATCATTCTTGGTCATGAGCACATAAAGTACTACAACAAACAAATATCGAAACATCTATTCGAATCAAATTTCGCAAACCTTATGACAGAAATCTACGCTTAAACCTATTAGAGAACATTATTACTAACGAATGCAAAGAAAATATTCAGCACGAAAAATGACACTGAAGAAGACAACGTCGAAACTGTTTGTCTCCAAATCAAATTTCCACAATACATAATTCTATTACCACTTAAAGTTTCAGTACAGACGCGTTAACCTCCAGTTATTATCTACGGCATTTATGGCCTTAAAGAAATCATACGGGCCAGCTTGCCATGCCGAGTTAGATTCCACAAGATAAAAACAAAGCTCAGGATTGTAGGATTTCACAAAATGAAGCAGAAAAGCTTAGAAAAAAACCACGAGTCTTTAACATTGTAGACGCTTGTGCTTCGAGCCCTGAATGCAGCGACTTATGCAACAATTTTTAAAATCGCTATGCCTCAAAAACTATTTCAGAAAAAAGAGATATACCATACCTACATACATTTGAGTTTCAAAACATGTGCTGTAACTAATTTAACGGCAAACAAGAAAGCAAAATAGGTCTGCCCAGTGCACGGACTTTACTACTTTATTGGTAGATCTTCCAACTTTTTAGCTATATTATATTTTCTACCATTTTAACCAACAAAGGCTAAAAATCTACCGATATTTGGCACAAAGAAAGCAAGAGGTTTAAGAGGTTTTCCTGTGTTATTTTTATGGGAAATCGAAAGTCTTTTTTACTTCTGATTTATATATTTAACGAACGATATGTTCTACACATATAACGATAAGGTCTTGGAACATTTTTGTAGAGAATGAAACGCTCTACAAAAAAGGTCTGAAGTCATTTTCGAAAAGTCAACTCGGTCAGAAGTTATTCGAGGTTCAAGTCGAATGAATGGTGAATTCGAATTTGACCTCAAATAACTTTTGACCGATTTGACTTATCGACAAGTAATTTTTAGCAAAAAAAAACCGACTTCAACTCTCATATAAAAAAAATATATATATACATATATATATATATATCTCATGATCCCCTGGTCGGATCTTAACCAGATTAGTATGGGACCACCTCTGAGACACTAACCGATGCAAAAAGAATTACCGAAATCGAACTTTGGACCACAAGTTATGCGGCAACATACATAAAAAAAAATAAAAAATAAAAAAATAAAAAATATTCAGACGAACTGATAACCTCCTCCTTTTTTGGAAGTCGGTTAAAAAATGAGCGTTCAATTCTCTACAAAACTACTCCAAGACCTTTACAGTACAACATATCGTTCGTTAAATACAAACATAAGAAGTAAAGAAAAATTGTTCCTTTGTTATTCTTATGGGAAATCGAAAAGTGCGATGCGGTCATTTTTAATATTAGTACTAAGCGCTGAGATTTATTTTGGCTTCTAGAGGAAATTTTTGAGCGTGGTTCCGAGGAAAAAAAATTTTCTATATCACCCTAGTACACATATATATTGACATCGACAACAAAGTTAACTTTGACGGAGAATAATTGTTTAAGTCTCCCTCCTATTAAATTAATACAGGGCCCGAATAAGGGAATCCGTGATCGAATCAAATTTTATAGGAAATTTCTTTTTGAGCAATCGGTAGTGAGTTTACTTTTGCAATCAAAATTGAATAGGAGAAAACAGCTGAGTTTCATTCGACAACGGATTCTGTGATTCGGCCCAGCCTTATGTGGGTATAGGTTTTTTGTTGAATATTTTATTCACGTGAAACACATTTTTGTCATATTAGGTGACAGCAGGAGTACAAATACAAAACACACTACACTACACGCATAATGCCAGTAAGAATTAGGAAAAATACATAATTTTGACATTAAGCTGCTCCGGTAACACGATCTTTTCTTAATTTGCCATGTTTTACCCTATTTAAATAAAAACTATCCGATATTTGTTTTGTTTTTTTAATCTACCAACTTCTACCGATTTTTCTATGTTAAATTTACTAATATTAATTTTATTGAAGTCCGCGCACTGGGCTTGCTGCACATACATACATATGTATGTAGCATATTCTACTGCATTTATGTGTGCATGGCTAGAGTAGCATACTTCTCTGGTAAGTATTCATGGCCACCCATAGCGATTTAATTCGAAAAAATCCTAATTAGTCTTTTCGTAATCTAAATAAATACACCCGCAATCGCCGCAAATTAGTAAGCAGCAGTGCACACACATAGTAAGCAGTGACCACGACACCAAGTCCTGTAAGCAACAGGAAGGCCAAGCAAGCAGGCAATCAACCAACACAGCTAACCGAGAAGCGGATAACCTAGTAGCAGTAATACACGTTGCAACACCAAACGGCGGGCAGGAAACGACAAGTGATAGTGGTGCCCCAGTCCAACTCTGCCCCTTTCCCAGTCTTCTAGAACGATTGTAACCAGTAAAAGTGTGGCAAACAATCGCAGGCGCTGGCCCGAAAAAGTGCAAGCAACACCTTTAACAACAAAGCTGAGTGGCCGAAAGTGTACATATGTGTGCTCAAGCGAGGGCGTTACTTGTTTTTGTGGGCAGCTAACGGAAAATTTCATGCATTTTAGATTAGGCGAAAATGTAATTTTAAAACGCGAGCGATTAATGTTCAACACAATTACAATTACACACATGCGTACATACATACGCACAAACAATTGCCACAATTGCAGTGCTGGAGCACACGAGGACAACGCCAGCCTTGTCGGTAGCAGTAATGGACAAAACAATAGACAAAGTGTGGTGCCGCTGCGTCGGCAACTACACTTAACGCATATGTATGCATGCATATTTAGTACACTTATATGCATTTACTTATGCATGGATGTGCGTGAAACAATACAAAACCGCTGAGCAAACAACAAAATTGACTGTTATTAGTGCTGACAGGAAAATAGAGCAAGTGGAGTGGCAGCGTTACCAACTTACAGATTTCCTCCCAAATTTAGAGGAAAATTTTGTAAGCAGAGAATGTTTTTAGGGAAAACTTTTTTAGGGTATCTAATTTTTAGGGAGAAAAATTTTCTGCTTACTATTGTTTGGTTGAATTTAATTTACTTGGTGGTGTAATTTTTTGTTGCGGAAAATAAAAATTTTACTTTTGCTCATAAAAAAAAGATTGTTTATCGATTTTTCGAGCTGCTTACAGTTCATAAAGATACACTGATTATAGCTTGTAAAAACATTTGGAGCACTTGTATTTAATTTTAAATAAACTGAAAATTAAAGTGTTTTGATTATCCATATCGTCGTTTAAAGTACAAAACAAAAAGCAAAATCGCGTATCAAGAAAATGCGAAACTGCGTATGTGAAGTTGCTTAAATTATTTTCGAGAGAGTAAAAACACTCATATTTCAAAATGGTTCTCTTTTTTACAAAACAGTCGCATTTCTGGCTGGTATATTTCAGGACGAATGGATAAGGATTGAGCCAAGAGCTTGTGTGAGAAAATCAAAATTTTTGGCAGTAAATGTTAGTTACGCGGTTTTGCAAAATGACGAAACGCGGTTTTGTACTTTTAACGACGATATCTACATACGCATTTATGTACTCAAAAACTATATCCTTAATGAATGCTCTTATATAAAATTTAATTGTTAAGTCTTTATGTACTCCGCCCATATATAATAAATACTAATAATGAACACTTTTCGTAATAAACAAGATAGTAACTTACGACGGTAAGCTACAATACATATGTACATATTATTATATTATGTATAAGTAATTTTTTTTATACGCTAACGAAATGTGTTTTTACGGGATTTTTGTTGATTTTAGGGGATTTTGAAAAATATTGGGGGAAAGCTTTCTGAGTGGTTGGTAACACTGTGGAGTGGAGGGTCACGTGATGTTAGTGTGGGTGAGCTCATTCGCACTTCGTCTGTCTTTCGTCGATGGCGCCTATTTGCTTGGGTTGCGAAATCAACAGAAAAAAACATCGATATTTTCGATTTCGATGTTTCATATAAAAAAACTGATGCCAAAATATCGATATTTATCGAAAATGGCATTCAATCCATAGTTAATATATTTTACACTGAATGCATGTGGTTTTTGCATATTTCTGCTTTGTTTGATTTACAACCATTTAAAATTAGTGCGACATCTCTTAAAAACAATACCTATAATTTCTTCCCAAATATTCACTTGAATCACTGTATTAAATTGCCAATGTTTCTATTTACACAAGATTGCAACTGTCGTCTTAATTATAAACTAGTCTTATACATAAATATGTATTGTATTTGGAAATCAATTGCTTTCGTGCTTTTCTTGTTAAAATACATGTGTTACTTATTTTTGAACCGGCATAAAATATTAGGAAACTATTTGTACCGTTTGTATGCGCTAGATTTTTGAAATTTTAGCCTGAGTTATAAATTATGTTCGATATTTCGATATTAAGAACATCAGAAAAAATAACATCGATGCATCGATATTTAAGCGTTGAAAGCATCGAATAAAAACATCGATGTTTTTGCCAATATATCGATTTTTCGATACATAGGTTTTTAGTTAGGTACTATTTGCTGCTAAGACATGTGTAGTGCATTGTGGGCACTCGCTAAACGGAAGGCCGGGAAAAGTGGCTAAACGACAAATTGACATTAGCGGTGGTTAAGCGGTGGCAGCGATCAGAGTGGCGTGTATGTAGCTTCATCAGCAAGCATTAGCAATATGGCACATATGTATGTACGTGAGTATGCCAATACATCAACAGGCAAATTCATGAATTTACTGGCATGGGCCGGCGTTAAGTAGAATGAAGGCAAGTTCTTGAATTGTATGCAAGAAAAGGCCACGCAGTGGGAAAT